AATTTTTCTAATATTTATATTATACCTTCAAAATTAGAGCCACTCGCTTTAAAGATTGCTTTCGACAATACTTACCAAATTCTTGAGTAAATAGTTTGTAGACATAGTCCAGAAGAATTGTAATAACTCGAAAAACCCCCTAAAACTGATCCAATTTTCAAACAGCCATAACTCCTACAATACTGAATGTATTTCAATGAAACTTTTTTCTGAAGCAGATCCCATAGGTGCCTACAAAAAAGTATTAAACAACTTTTCTGTACGGCGCCAACCAAATTTATTAAAAATGAAAAACGAATTTTTAAGTGAAATCGACAGGGTGATTTTTCGGTGAAATTGAAAAATTTCAAATCATTCTAGAAAAATTATTTTCGGTTACAGGAGTCAATTATAATCATTTTTTATCATTAGAAATACCCTCGAATTCCTACGCATAATCGAGAAAAAAATTCGAGAAGGTATGACATTTTTCGACAAAATTAAAATTTTCCAAATCGATCTAGAAAAATTATTTTCGGTTGTGGGGGTCAATTACAATAATTTTTGGTCATTAGACATACACCCGAATTCCTACGCACTTACGAGAAAAAAATTCCTTACTGAAAATATATTCTATGGCCAGAAATGTCACTTCAGCGAATCTTTAAAAAATCATAACTTCTGAACGGATTGGAGGATTTTAATGTTTCAAACGGCAAACAACGTGTATTTTAGTGAAGAATATGTACAAATTCTAACAATATTGAAAAAGTTGTTCTTTGACCCCGTAAAATTAGAAAAACACCCATAAAAATGGTCCAATTTTCAAACAGCCATAATTCCAACAATAGTGAATATATTTCAATGAAACTTTTTTCTGAAGTAGAGCTCATGGGTACCTACAAAAAAGTGTTAGACAATTTTTCCGTAGGGCATCAAACAAAATTACTAAAAATCAAAAACAAGGAAAATCGACAGGGGTAGGTGCCTACATTGTTCGACGAAAAAAAAATTCCAAATCATTCTAGAAAAATTATTTTTAGTTGTGGGGGTCAATTGCAATAATTTTTGGTGATTAGACATACCCTCGAATTCCTACGCGTAATCGAGAAAAAAAATCTAGAAAGTATGACATTTTTCGACAAAATTAAAATTTTCCAAATCGTTCTAAAAAAAATTATTTTTAGATGTGGGGCTCAATAACAATTATTTTTGGTCGATAGACATACCCTCGAAATCTTAACCATTTTCGAGAAAAAAATTCAAAACCGGTGGAACTTTAAAATGTTAATAACTTTTTAACGAAGCCTCCATCAACAAATTAGTATTTTACATTTTCGCCTTATTTTAACCCCTAGAATCTCCCATTAAAATTTTTCCCTATATAAAACACATTAAATATGATAAAATTAAATAAAACAAATTTCAATATTGCTCATATATCGATCACTTTTTTTTAAATTTTTTATTTTTATCTTTCACAGATATCAAGTAGACACTATTACAATAATTTATAATTTATAATTCATAATTCACTTTACTCTATTTTTAGATGTTAAGAGTTTCTTCGAAGGTCTCGATTATTTGAAAATTTCGTAAACAATTTCTCATGATTCGTGTGTAAATAATAATACAGCTAGTTTGTACGTTTCGTGGAGACAAAAGGGTCGTCGCAGAAAAAGTCACAGACAGAACTTAACCAGCAAAGAGACGGACGTAGTTTCTTCCTGTTTCATTTTTTGTACCTAATTTATTTCATCACGTAGAGAGAATACCCTCGAGGGAAACTCGTGTTTAGCTCCGCGGAAAACTTTCCGCCCGTGGGAAGACAAATAATCATTGAAAAACTATTTGCAGCGTAAACGTATTTACAGGAAGTACAGGTACACGGCTGTAAATAATTTACTTTCGACTAGGTTACGCTTTCTTTCCATTATTCCCATCGCAAGTAACAATTCGAGGTTATGAATTTGAAAAATTATTGTCATAGAGTGCAATAATTAAAAACACAAATATAATAATAGAAATAAGTCTATTTGGACATCAGTTTAATTATTCTATTTTACATAAATTCAAAAAGAAACATGAAACTTAAATAAAAAAAAATCAAACAGGTTGCAATCTTTCAGTTTCTGCACCATAATAAAATTTCTCTATATCCTGTTTAGAGGGCGCGCTGAGCTACTAAAGCGCGACTAACCTCAATTAAAGAAAGTATTCTTTCTTTACATTTATATTTCTATGTTTTTCAACGAATATCCTCTCTTTTACCATTGCTTGGTTCCGCGTGCATTTAATTAAATCCATTCTTGTCTCTTCGCGTTAATGGCGGGTATTCTACCAATGAAAGGCCAGCAATTAACCACGGTAAAATTCCCCGTAATAACGATGCACATTTGTCCGCGTACGAATACGCGTAATCGATGGTCCGAGTAACGCGTGTGCTTCGAACGAAAATTGTTTATCGCCTCGTTATCGCGTATTGATCATTATTGGCGCGTCGATCGCCTGGCATAACTGTTCCCAACACCGGTAGCTTAAATAAATTTAAAAATCTCCACGTATAGTGATCATCATTACTCGAGTGTTTGCTTTAATAATTCGCTACGGTTTCTTTTAACACTAGAAAGACTGAAACTTAGTATATACCTATATTGCCCAAAAGCAGTCAAAATGACTGCATCGTGAAAGAATAAATAATGTGTAAAGAAATTTGTTTAAAATTAATTTTTAATATTATGGTATAATATTATGAATTTAGGGCGCAGAAATAAAATAAACAACTTGTTAGAACAAGTATCACTGCATAAAGATTCGAATAACAAGTACTACTTTAGCTTATTGAGAAACTGTAATTTATCAATAGGTCAAGGTTAGGTCTGGGTTAGGTCTGGATTAGATCTGAGTTAGGTCTGGGTTAGGTCTGGATTAGATCTGGATTAGATCTGGGTTAGGTCTGGATTAGATCTGGATTAGATCTGGGTTAGGTCTGGATTAGATCTGAGTTAGGTCTGGGTTAGGTCTGGGTTAGGTCTGGATTAGATCTGAGTTAGGTCTGGGTTAGGTCTGGATTAGATCTGGATTAGATCTGGGTTAGGTCTGGATTAGATCTGGATTAGATCTGGGTTAGGTCTGGATTAGATCTGGATTAGATCTGGGTTAGGTCTGGATTAGATCTGAGTTAGGTCTGGGTTAGGTCTGGGTTAGGTCTGTATTAGATCTGAGTTAGGTCTGGGTTAGGTCTGGATTAGATCTGAGTTAGGTCTGGGTTAGGTCTGGATTAGATCTGGATTAGATCTGGATTAGATCTGGATTAGATCTGGGTTAGGTCTGGATTAGATCTGAGTTAGGTCTGGGTTAGGTCTGGGTTAGGTCTGGATTAGATCTGAGTTAGGTCTGGGTTAGGTCTGGATTAGATCTGAGTTAGGTCTGGATTAGGTCTGGATTAGATCTGAGTTAGGTCTGGGTTAGGTCTGGATTAGATCTGGGTTAGGTCTGGATTAGATCTGGGTTAGGTCTGGGTTAGGTCTGGAATAAGTCTGAATTAAGTCTAGGTTAGGTCTGGTCTTAAAGTCTAGGTTAGGACTTAATTCAGACTTATTCCAGACCTAACCCAGACCTAACCCAGATCTAATCCAGACCTAACCCAGACCTAACCCAGACCTAAACCAGACCTAACCCAGATCTTATTCAGATCTAATCCAGACCTAACCCAGAGCTAACTCAGATCTAATCCAGACCTAACCCAGACCTAACTCAGATCTAACTCAGATCAAATCCAGACCTAACCCAGACCTAACCCAGACCTAAACCAGACCTAACCCAGATCTAATTCAGATCTAACCCAGACCTAACCCAGAGCTAACTCTGATCTAATCCAGACCTAACCCAGACCTAACTCAGATCTAACTCAGATCTAATCCAGTCCTAACCCAGACCTAACCCAGACCTAAACCAGACCTAACCCAGATCTAATTCAGATCTAATCCAGACCTAACCCAGAGCTAACTCAGATCTAATCCAGACCTAACCCAGACCTAATTCAGATCTAATCCAGACCTAACCCAGACCTAACCCAGACCTAAACCAGACCTAACCCAGATCTAATTCAGATCTAATCCAGACCTAACCCAGAGCTAACTCAGATCTAATCCAGACCTAACCCAGATCTAACTCAGATCTAACTCAGATCTAATCCAGACCTAACCCAGACCTAACCTAGATCTAGGGTCTGGGTTAGGTCTGGATTAGATCTGGGTTAGGTCTGGGTTAGGTCTGGGTTAGGTAAGCCCAAATCGACAATTTATCATGTACTTGTATGTTGTCATGTGTTGGTAATCGAAAAAAAATGAACACTGTTATTTCAATACAGAGTCGATCTGGTCATATAAGAAATTTACTCAATTCAATAATAAGAGTGATTTGATTATTTAAAATTTCCCAAGCAGTCAAAATGACTGCTTTTTTGGGCAATATAGGTATACCGGAAATGAAGGCTGGGAGAGGTAACTATAATTATTAATAAACGCATTTATATGTTGTACAAAAAGTCACAAAATTCTAAGAAATTGTGTCATTATATACATAATTGTTTTTCTAATTGAAATTAAAAAGCAGTCAAAATTACTTCCTTGGGCAATCTAGTGTCAACTGCGTCGTGTCACAATTAATGGCGCGTGAAATTGGTTTTCATCAATCGTTGCGCGAACAATACTGGTGATGAATGTTCGAATGAGAATGAAATGTATGGTTTTCGTTCGTTCGTAATAAATCGAACGTTCTGACTAACAATGGGTTTCCCCTACTGGACGAAAAATTGTTTCCTTTGTGAATTACGTGTGGATTTATTAATCTTGACGATTTCTAAGTCTATCGTTCTAGTTTTAGTACGTGAAGGTTCTTCACGTACTAAATTAATACGAAGGGAAATTGATACCGCGAGGGAAAATAGAATCTATTTCAGGCTGATAAATTGCCGTGGTGTTTTCGTTGATCGAAGGGGTCGAAATTTGTTGTTTCAGTTGGCTGCCATCGCCTTGAACTTCGGCGTGCTGGTCACAGCGGTGTACGAGGGTATTTATGCTCGACGTGGCGGTGACCCGACGAAAATTAGGGTCGTGGCTGATCCTCGTGCCGCCACCATAAATAATCCTGGCTACCGGGAACATCAACCCACGAACGGTGAGTTTATCCAACAACTTGACTTTTATTCTTTCCCCAGAAACACCAAACTTTGACACAAATAAATATTTACAAAAATTTATTATATCCAAACCTTCGTTATCCTTTTTTTTTATTATTTTTATTATCCTTATTTTAATCCTTAATTTATCCTTAGTAATCCTCATTTTTCGAATCTATTATTTGTTAAATAAAGTCAACGAACTTCTAGATCTTCGAGTTGCATGACTCGTGGAAAATAAGTGTGGGAAGGGAACGGTCGAAACGGATCGATATCGCAGTGTTCGGAAGCCATGACATGAACGAGATTCGGGAAACGGTCATGGCCTTCCGAGACAGGTGTGAATGGAGCAAGAGGAATGTATGCGAGTAAGAAGGAGAGAGTGAATGAGAGAAAGGGAAAACGTGTGTAAAGAGCAGGATGAAGGAATGTGAATGTCGAAAAGATGAATTGTGCGTGGACAAAAGAAAAAGCAGTGTCTTGGTGACCGAGCTGGGAAAAACATTGTATTTAAAAGCTAATAAATTGATCATCATTTTACCCTCTTCCACTCTATTTCTACATAAGTTACGAGAATTCTCTTGAAATTGGATTTCGAGACTGGACGGGGTCTGCAGTATTGCATTTCATATTATTATTTACGTTTCGCTCTAAAAAGATCGTAACCCAACCCAGACTTATTCCAGACCTAATCCAGACTTAATTCAGACTTATTCCAGACCTAACCCAGAGCTAACCCAACCTAACAAACCTAGGGTTGGGTCTGGGTTAGGTCTGGAATAAGTCTGAATTAAGTCTGGGTTAGGTCTGAATTAAGTCTGGGTTAGGTCTGGGTTAGGTCTGGGTTAGGTCTGAATTAAGTCTGGGTTAGGTCTGGAATAAGTCTGAATTAAGTCTGGGTTAGGTCTGGGTTAGGTCTGAATTAAGTCTGGGTTAGGTCTGGGTTAGGTCTGAATTAAGTCTGGGTTAGGTCTGGGTTAGGTCTGAATTAAGTCTGGGTTAGGTCTGAATTAAGTCTGCGTTAGGTCTGGGTTAGGTTTGGGTTAGGTCTGGGTTAGGTCTGAATTAAGTCTGGGTTAGGTCTGGGTTAGGTCTGAATTAAGTCTGGGTTAGGTCTGGGTTAGGTCTGAATTAAGTCTGGGTTAGGTCTGGGTTAGGTCTGAATTAAGTCTGGGTTAGGTCTGGAATAAGTCTGAATTAAGTCTGGGTTAGGTCTGGGTTAGGTCTGGAATAAGTCTGAATTAAGTCCTAACCTAGACTTTAAGTCCAGACCTAACCTAGACTTAATTCAGACTTATTCCAGACCTAACCCAGACCTAACCCAGACTTAATTCAAACCTAACCCAGATCTAACCCAGACTTAATTCAGACTTATTCCAGACCTAACCCAGACTTATTCCAGACCTAACCCAGACCTAACCCAGACTTAATTTAGACTTATTCCAGACCTAACCCAGACTTAATTCAAACCTAACCCAGACCTAACCCAGACTTAATTCAGACTTATTCCAGACCTAACCCAGACTTATTCCAGACCTAACCCAGACCTAACCCAGACTTAATTCAGACTTATTCCAGACCTAACCCAGACTTAATTCAAACCTAACCCAGACCTAACCCAGACCTAACCCAGACTTAATTCAGACCTAACCCAGACCTAACCCAGACTTATTCCAGACTAACCCAGACCTAACCCAGACTTAATTCAGACTTATTACAGACCTAACCCGAATAACTCTAAACGAATATCTGGAAGATAGACTTAAAAAGGAAAAAGTGAATCTTTTTAATAACTCTCGAATTCCGTAATTTAGGAATTTTCGATATCGAGTTCCACATCGTGGAATGCATCGATATTCGAAACGTTATTTAACCCCTTAACGCACAGTCTTTTTGAAAAAACCGGCCAAAAAAAATCAATTTTGTTGTTGTTGTAAAAAAACACAATTTAGGACATTGTCTTGGTAAAAAAATTTTAAAAATACAAAAATAATCAAAATTTTTATTATAATTTGGGATTTTGATCCACGTTGCAGAAAGGAGTCGAATATTGCAATGTTACACGTACATCGACTTTTTTTATCTTTCTTTTCGAATTGCTATTTCCGAAAAACACATATTTTTACTCATAAAAATATTTATTTACACTTTTACAATATAAATAATAATAATATTACTATATTTGAGTGTGAAAAATTATAGCAGCATATAATACAACTATTTTCAAATCGTCGTGTTTAATGCATAGTTCAATAATCATAATCACGAAGTTCGTTTCGATTCGCCGCCATTTAATTTCGAGCGCGAAATTAGTTAAATAGCGGACAGAGAAGTTCCGTGGTCTGATTCTACAGGGATTACAGTACCAAATGTAGTTTTCCTCACCTCTATTTGTCTTCTTAATTCGTATTTCAAAGTTTGTTTAAACGCGATGTCACGGAACACGAATACTTCGTACACGTGCCGCGATGAAACCTGATTAAGAGGAAACAAAGTTTGCATAACATTCGCTGCGAACTAATGGACGATGAAAAACTTGATTCCGATACTGTGCACCTTGAAAACGAAAATTACGTTTTAATATGCACGGTACATGTGGTTTCTACCATTTCTCGCGTTTAAATTATTCGTTTCTTTCCACACTTTGTCGATTTATTTTATTTTATTCTCTGTTTTATTAATACCGATCCCTTCTTATTAATATCATTTTTTAAGTAATTATTCAAGCCTGTAATTTACGACTTTTTTCGTACAATTTAAGATACTCAAAATTAAATGTACGATTTTAAACTGGATCGAAACTATATATTTCTTTGAATATTTTTTTGAAAGCAAATTCACCTTCGATTCAAAATTCAATATGCAATTTTAAACAGAATCATGGGAATATATTTCTTTAAATATTTTTATAAAAAAAGATTCAGCACTTATAACTAAAAGTTAAATGTACAATTTTAAACAAACATATAGACACATAATTGAAGTAGTAGATTCTGTAACGCGTGTACAAGTGACAGAAATGAAATTTTCAAGTATAAATCCCTTGGAAGTGCTTTTGAGACTTGGAAATGGGGGTCGTTGAAGTATCTTAAACCGAATTCCACCGACTTTCTGTACGTTTAACTTTCCTTTGAAGGTTTCGCCCTTCGAATGAATTTGAAAATGGCGATAGGACGTCAACGAGACACCCTTCAAGTTTCTTTTCATGGAAGTGGCTGGAAGTCGGGAGACCTTCGCCTGGCAGCTGATGGAAACTCAATATGCCAGAGAAATGGTCTTCGGATGTGAGCGTGATGGGAGTCAAGGTGAAGGGAGAAAATAGTGAAGATATAAAGGGGAGCAAGAGAGGGTGTTGGAAGGTCTATTCAAAGTGCGCACGCGCCCGTAGAACTTTCTGGCACGTTCCAACCGTTGGGGCCCTCGTGGCCTGCGCGCGCCGGTGTGTGCTCTCTCGACCTGCGCGCGCTGGTGTGCTCTCTCTCTCTCTCTCGGCCCGTCCGCGTAACCGCATGGTTTAGTACACGCGATATTACAAATGTAGTCCATATACAGGGTGTTCGGCCACCTGTAGCAAAAATTTTAATGGGCGATAGTAGAGGCCAAAATAAGACGAAAATCAAGAATACCAATTTGTTGATGGAAGCTTCGTTAAAAAGTTATTAACGTTTAAAGTGCCGCCCTTACTGAATTTTTTTCTCGAAAATGCGCAAGATTTCGGGGGTATGTCTATTCGCCAAAAATGACTGTAATCGAACCCTACAATCGAAAATAATTTTTCCACAACGATTTGCAATTTTTTAATTTTCTCGAATAATTTCACACCTTCTCTATTTTTTTTTCTCGAAAGTGGGCAGGATTTCGTGGGTATGTCTAATGACAAAAACTGATTGTAATTCACCCCCGCGACCGAAAATATTTTTTCCACAACGATTTGCAATTTTTTTTCTCCGTTGTAAAAATTTAGGCACCTAATTGGATTTTCGGTAAGGAATTTTTTTCTCGAAAGTGCGTACGATTTCGGAGGTATGTGTAATGATAAAAAATGATTGCAATTGATCCCCGCGACCGAAAATAATTTTTTTAGAACGATTTGAAAAATTTTTTTTCGCCGAAAAATTTCACCACCTAATCGATTTTTTTTCTCGAAAGTAGATAGGATTTCGGAGGTACGTGTACTCGCCAAAAATGATTGTAGTTGATCCCCGCAACCGAAAATAATTTTTCTAGAATTATTTGAAATTTTTCAATTTTTTCGAAAAATTTCACATATTCTCGAATTTTTTTCTGGAAAATGGGTTGGAATTCGGGGGTATGTCTATTCACCAAAAATTATTGTAATTGACCCCCGCAACCGAAAATGATTTTTCTAGATCGATTTGGAAAATTTTAATTTTGTCGAAAAATGTCATACCTTCTCGAATTTTTTTCTCGATTATGCGTAGGAATTCGGGGGTATGTCTATTCACTAAAAATTATTGTAATTAAACCCCGCAACCGAAAGTAATTTTTTCAGAAAGATTTGGAAAATTTTAATTTCACCGAAAAATTTCATACCTTCTCGATTTTTTTTCTCGATTATGCGTAGGAATTCGGGGGTATGTCTATTCACCAAAAATTATTGTAATTGACCCCTGCAACTAAAAATATTTTTTTCAGAATGATTTGAAATTTTTTAGTTTTGTCGAAAAATTTCACACTTTCTCGAATTTTTTTTTCGAAAGTTGGTAAGAATTCGAGGGTATGTCTAATGACCAAAAATGACTATAAGCGACTACTGTAATCGAAAATAATTTTTCTAGAGTGATTTTAACTTTTCAATTTCACCGAAAAATTTAGACTGTCGATTTTTCTTAAAAATTGGTTTTTGATTTTTAGTAATTTTGTTTGACGCCCTACGGAAATTTTGACTAATACTTTTTTATAGGTACATATGGGCTTAACTTCAGAAAAAAGTTTTATCAAAATATATTCACTATTGTAGGAGTTATGGCTGTTCGAAAATTGGACCATTTTTATTGGGGGTTTTTCTAATTTTACGAGGTCAAAGAACAACTTTTTCAATATTGTTAGAACTTGTACATATTCTTCACTAAGATACACGTTGTTTGCCGTTTGAAACATTAAAATCGTCCAATCCGTTCAGAAGTTATGATTTTTTAAAGATTCGCTGAAGTGACATTCCTGGCCATAGAATATATTTTCAGTGAGGAATTTTTTTCTCGAAAATGGTTAGGATTTCGAGGATATGTATATTGACCAAAAATGATTGTAGTTGACCCCCGCGGTCGAAAATAATTTTTCCAGAACGATTTGAAATTTTTGAATTTAATTGTTAATAACTTTATAACGAAACTTCCATCAACAAATTAGTATTCTTGATTTTCGTCTTATTTTGGCCTCTACTATCGCTCATTAAAATTTTTGCTAGTGGTGGCCGAACACCCTGTATAGTTTCGATGCAGTTTAAAATCGTACATTTAACATCGAATCATAAATACTAGATTCGTTTTTATAAAAATTGTTAAAGAACTATATTTTCGTGGGTGGATGTTTAGAACGTATTTATTATAATTGTATAACGTTGGTTAAAAACTATTTAACAAGAAATCGATACAATAACAATGATTTGTCTCACACGTCTCCTCACTCTCAATACTCGCTTACAAGTGAATAATATGACTACAAGTGAATGTAATAAGGGAATGAACTATATTTTTATAATTTCAGGTGGAACCATCTCGATGACGGACGCCAGCGGCAAGCCTTACGTCGGCGGCGCAGGAAACGGCTCGATGGCGTCGGTGGCGACCTCTGGAAGCGTGGGCAGCACCGCGTCTCCGCTCCGTAGCTCCCTAAAGAAGCCCAAGCCTCTAGGCATTCACAATCCCGGCTTCTCCGCGCACAGTCCGACGCTTTCCAGGAACGGGTCGCAAAAGAAAGTGCGAATACAAACGCACTCCACCGAGGTCTAGCAATCTCGTGGCCACAACGAGACGAATCCTCGTGGGGCATCCTCCGAACAAGCGTTTCCCTTCGAAACGAGACACTCGACAGGTCGAAGCTACGTCGAAACGTTCTTCGATCGCGAAAACGATGTTTTCATTTAAAATTCGGGGGGACATCCGATATAATCGTGAAGCTCCAACTGTTTTGGCGACGATTGCTATTAATTGTCGAGATTTTCGGGATACGGTGACCAAAACGCTCCGAGTGTAGCGTGTTTTAAAAGAATAACACCAATTTCGAATACTTTTAATTTCGAAATGTATTTTAGGGTTGTTTGGGTATTTATTTGTTTCGATTTATTTTGTGGACGAGTGTCCTCATCGGAGCCGAAATTATGGCGCCATTATTCAAATTTTGTGATCGAGTGTCCTCATTGGAGTCGAAATTATGGCGCCAATATTCAAATTTTGCAATCGAGGCGGTTTTTTTTATTGATATTATAGAACAATTCTCATCTTACTTGAGTTTTTGTTATATTTTCTATAATTTTTTGACAATCTAAATGCATAAATATCCTGAGTGTAATTATTACTATTAAATTAGAACTTCTTTGCAACTATTTTCTTAGAACAGTGAACTAAAAGGTTAATTAATCAATTTAACAGTCTCATTCGACTCCTGTGGACATTTTCATCACTTCTAAATGAATGTTTACTGTATCTTGCTAAATCACGATGAACAAAGTGTTCAATACCCAACAGCCACCTTTCTCACAAGTGGTCCATCTCGAGATTACAACGACCCTACAATAACGATTCTCGACGATTAAAGTTTTTTATTTTTTAACAAAGTACAGATTCATGAGGACACTGGGAAGTTCTCCAATAAATTTTCTGTCGTTGGATGATTATTGGAGAACTTCCTTTCACAAAGTGTTGTTCTCAAGTTCACGAAAGGTCCAAGGATCTCGAATGACCTTGGATCGAAAACTTCGCGAGTCTCAGTGGGAGGACGTAGGAAATGAGCCCTCTCGAAGAACTGATCGAGCATATCCGGTCGGAAAATGGCGGACTCCGACTGAGATTTCCAATGGCGTCGCGACGCCTTCGAGAACCTCCGGAGGCGTCGCGTATGACGTGTGGGCGGTATTTATAGGAGAATGTGATATAATACTGATTTAAAGGGAACCGTAAAAATTTCGTCATCGATGGTTGTTAGGTTGGCCACCATTTTCTGCTTCGAGATTCGCTAGTTTCGTCATCGAGACACTCGAATCGAATCTAAGATATTTTCTATCGGACTGCTTCGAAAACTATTCCATTATTCAAACGAATTTGACAAAAATAGATTTGTATTAATTTCACGATAAATTATTATGAATCGTTTAAAATTATTGATATAAAAAATTGTGCAAAATTCTTCTTTCGTCTGGTGAAAGTTGCACCAGAAATCAGTGGCTACGAATTCGATCGTGTCTTGTATTTGTTAAATACTAGACATATATATCCGCGATAATGCAATTCTCTCGGGAGAAAGCGCTCGAGAAGCTTCGCCACCTGGCGGTAACATCGCAGTACTGCTACGGGCATGGTATCGCGCGGGACGAATACGCGTATGCGCGCGCAAGTAGACTGTCGTGTACAGGGGTCGCGTGGTCTGCCAAACGGTCGTACTCATGAAATCTTTGCACATAAATTACATGTTAATAACGCGCTTAGGGTTAGGTCTGGGTTAGGTCTGAATTAAATCTGGGTTAGGTCTGGAATAAGTCTGAATTAAGTCTGGGTTAGGTCTGAATTAAGTGTGGGTTAGGTCTGGAATAAGTCTGAATTAAGTCTGGGTTAGGTCTGGATTAGATCTGAGTTAGGTCTGGGTTAGGTCTGGGTTAGGTCTGGAATAAGTCTGGGTTAGGTCTGGGTTAGGTCTGAATTAAGTCTGGGTTAGGTCTGGGTTAGGTCTGAATTAAGTCTGGGTTAGGTCTGGGTTAGGTCTGAATTAAGTCTGGGTTAGGTCTGGGTTAGGTCTGAATTAAGTCTGGGTTAGGTCTGGGTTAGGTCTGAATTAAGTCTGGGTTAGGTCTGGGTTAGGTCTGAATTAAGTCTGGGTTAGGTCTGGAATAAGTCTGAATTAAGTCCTAACCTAGACTTTAAGTCCAGACCTAACCTAGACTTAATTCAGACTTATGCCAGACTTAACCCAGACTTAATTCAGACCTAACCCAGACCTAACCCAGACTTAATTCAGACCTAACCCAGACCTAACCCAGACTTAATTCAGACCTAACCCAGACCTAACCCAGACTTAATTCAGACCTAACCCAGACCTAACCCAGACCTAACCCAGACTTAATTCAGACCTAACCCAGACCTAACCCAGACTTAATTCAGACCTAACTCAGACCTAACCCAGACCTAACCCAGACTTATTCCAGACCTAACCCAGACCTAACCCAGACCTAACTCAGATCTAATCCAGACCTAACCCAGACTTAATTCAGACTTATTCCAGACCTAACCCACACTTAATTCAGACCTAACCCAGACCTAACCCTAGGTTTGTTAGGTTGGGTTAGGTCTGGAATAAGTCTGAATTAAGTCTGGGTTGGGTTATGATCGTTTCAGCACGGAACGTAGGTGTTTTTCGTTGAACGACGTAGTTCGCCAAGCAAGAACAGAGAGGCAATTATTAAGCAAAGGGAGAAATTTATACAAAACTATCATGCCCCGTCTCGGCTTCGCCCGACCTTGTGCATATTTAATTTTTGAATTTTAGCAAATTCGTAAATGGAAATCAACTTTCCTTTGAAGCATTTGACAAATAATGAACCAATAGAGGATTTTAAATAAATTTCTCTATACAGGGAATTTTCTGAACCCCTAAAATAATCTTACTTCACTTATTTCTTATATATTTGCATGTTAAGTGCATTGCATAATTTTCTGAAAATTAAAATCTCCAATTTATTATACATATAGTTGCATATTGAGCATATTATGTAGTTTCTTGAAAATTAAAATTTCCCATTTTTTTTATATATTTACCATATAGAGTGCATTATGTAGGTTTTTAAAATTCAAATCTCGCATTTATTATGCACTAGCAATTGACCTTGTGCAAAAGCAATTTATGGCCAGACGATCGTCCTGACATATATAACCGCGATAATGCAATTCTCTCGCGAGAAAGCGCTCGAGAAGCTACGCCACCTGGCGGTGACATCGCAGTACTGCTACGGGCGAGGTATCGCGCGGGACGAATACGCGCATGCGCCCGCAAGTAGACTGTCGTATACAGGGGTCGCGTGGTCCGCCAAACGGTCGTACGCATGAAATCTTTGCACATAAATTACATGTTAATAACGCGCTTCTGAGACATGCTACATAGCCTAAGTCCGTCCTAGAGTGTGCAGGAATAACGTGTCAAAATTTGAGGAAGATCGGTTCAATAGGTCTTGAGTTTTACGCGAACATAAAAATCGACTCTTTCTTAAAGTAAACTTTCAGTCGTTTGAGCAGTGTAATCGTTGAAAGTGGCCGGAGTGTCTCGATTTGGGACGCAAGATGGCGGAGTCTCGAAGCAAACTGTTGGATCAGGATCGTCGAGGATCGAATAGAAATCAGCCAGTCGTGTTCGGTGAGATTACAGTTTAAGTTCCCAAGTGGTTTCCAGCGGCGAACACGAACGAATTCGTCTCTTCACAGTCCATTAATTTTACTTATTTAAGACTTGGATCTCCATCAGTATTTCTACAGAAAAACAGCGATTCACGTAAATTTTTGAGACTTAATCTTCGTTTCACAGGCGTAGAAACCATAAAATTCGATACAAAAAAATCTAACGATATTAAATTTGGTGATCTAATTAGTCAAGTTAAGAAACTTCGTTCTAAAATTCATTCCACAAACATCGATCTCAAACTAATCGAATTTTATAAAAATATTTAACAAAACTTTACGAAATATATTGCATGCATCTGCTAGTGATTTTCCATTCGTAAAATCAAAATGGCGTCTACTAATGTTTCTCTGTTTCTCAGTTGGAAACATTCAGATGCTATTTTATCGATATTCGTAAATTTCTGCGTTGAATAATATTATACGCGGATCATTCGATCGTGAATTGGAATAGATTTCCATATTTGAACAGTTTTTAAACCGTATTTAACTGGTTTTTTGTCGAATCAATCGCCAAGTGGACGAATCGAGTCGAAAAAACGATGAAAATTCGAAATATTTTTGTTTAATGTTTTCGATGTTTTGGATGTGAATATTTATGTTGAATTTCTCGTGGAATTTGAACGACTATTTAAATATTATGTTGCACTTTTTTGTTGTTGGATTTTTATGCAATTTGATATATTTATTAATAAAATTGATAAAATAAGAGCTTCGTAGCTATAATTCTTATCTTACTTGAGTTTTCGTTATATTTTTGAATATTAAATGAATTCTATAGTGTTTCGACAATCTAAATTCCCCATAAATGCATAAATATCCGCGGTCTAATTACGAGACATTAATCGAAGAGCGAATATCGCTCGGTTCGCAGCTGGAGAGACGTAATTATTAAGTTTATCACGTTGTTGAACGATCGTACGCGGGAAAAACGAAAGTGGATTATTGTTAATTGTCTGTTTTAAGCTAGAGATCGCGGGAATGATCGAACATGTGGAATTGAACACGCTAAACACGATGTTTTTATTATTGGAATCGACAATTGTTGATAATTGTTCGACGAACGTTTTATTGTTGAAATTTTTTATATTCTATGGTTCTATTTCGAGGATGTAATCAGTGTTCGTGTGTCAGATATTTTATTTAGGAATCTGAAACATTTGTTGCGGAAATACGGAATCAAATTCCGTAAGATTGGGAAAAGAATTTTTACGAAAATTCATTTCTTCGATTTAACAGAATTTCTCGTATAATATTTGTTCGAATTTATTGAGAGTATTCTCTAATGGCAATAGATGGCATTGTTTGATGAATTGTTAAATAAATTCTGATTATGATCGAAGAAATTAAATTTGAATTTTCGTGAATTTTTCTTTCTAATCTTATAATAACATTGTTCGAAATATTGTTGTTGCTGAACAGTAAGAGACACGAAATAATTCGATTTTATCAGTTTTTTAACGAAGGATCATCTTATGGGGAAATATTTCTTGGTTTTTCAGGGTTATTTTAGAGACATTTAGTATTTTTTAGATAATTTAAATAAATTCAAACTAGATTTCAAATTTTTACCGACCGATAGCCTATTAATCGACTGTTTTACCGACCAACGCTTACCGACCGATAGCGTGTTAATCAACTTCTTTACCGACCAACGCTTACCGACCGCTACCAGTCGGTAAAGTGTTAAAATATACAGGGTGTTCGGCCACCTCTAGCAAAAATTTTAATGAGCGATAGTAGAGGCCAAAATAAGACGAAAATCAAGAATACTAATTTGTTGATGGAAGCTTCGTCAAAAAGTTATTAACAATTAAATTCAAAAATTTCAAATCGTTCTGGAAAAATTATTTTCGGTTGCGGGGGTCAACTACAATCATTTTTGGTCAATATACATATCCTCGAAATCCTAACCATTTTCGAGAAAAAAATTCCTTACTGAAAATATATTCTATGGCCAGGAATGTCACTTCAGCGAATCTTTAAAAAATCATAACTTCTGAACGGATTGGACGATTTTAATGTTTCAAACGGCAAACAACGTGTATCTTAGTGAAGAATATGTACAAGTTCTAACAATATTGAAAAAGTTGTTCTTTGACCTCGTAAAATTAGAAAAACCCCCAATAAAAATGGTCCAATTTTCGAACAGCCATAACTCCTACAATAGTGAATATATTTTGATAAAACTTTTTTCTGAAGTTAAGCCCATAGGTACCTATAAAAAAGTATTAGTCAAAATTTCCGTAGGGCGTCAAACAAAATTACTAAAAATCAAAAACCAATTTTTAAGAAAAATCGACAGTCTAAATTTTTCGGTGAAATTGAAAAGTTAAAATCACTCTAGAAAAATTATTTTCGATTACAGTAGTCGCTTATAGTCATTTTTGGTCATTAGACATACCCTCGAATTCTTACCAACTTTCGAAAAAAAAATTCGAGAAAGTGTGAAATTTTTCGACAAAACTAAAAAATTTCAAATCATTCTGAAAAAAATATTTTTAGTTGCAGGGGTCAATTACAATAATTCTTGGTGAATAGACATACCCCCGAATTCCTACGCATAATCGAGAAAAAAAATCGAGAAGGTATGAAATTTTTCGGTGAAATTAAAATTTTCCAAATCTTTCTGAAAAAATTACTTTCGGTTGCGGGGTTTATTTACAATAATTTTTAGTGAATATACATACCCCCGAATTCCTACGCATAATCGAGAAAAAAATTCGAGAAGGTATGACATTTTTCGACAAAATTAAAATTTTCCAAATCGATCTAGAAAAATCATTTTCGGTTGCGGGGGTCAATTACAATAATTTTTGGTGAATAGACATACCCCCGAATTCCAACCCATTTTCCAGAAAAAAATTCGAGAATATGTGAAATTTTTCGACAAAATTGAAAAATTTCAAATAATTCTAGAAAAATTATTTTCGGTTGCGGGGGTCAACTACAGTCATTTTTGGTGAGTACACATACCCCCGAAATCCTATCTACTTTCGAGAAAAAAAATCGAGTAGGTGGTGAAATTTTTCGGCGAAAAAAAATTTTTCAAATCGTTCTAAAAAAATTATT